ATGGAGTCAAACATATGGTTTCCATATGTTTGACGTGTTTTATATCGCTCCATATATTCCATTCCTTCTTTACAATGAGCCCGTCCTCCTATAGTTCCTCCCACCAGCCTCCTCTGAACTCCATTTATTCACATACATTTACATTTTAGTAATTTAGCAGACACTCTTATCCAGAGCGACTTACAGTTTTTAGTGAGTGCATACATTTTTCATACTGGCTCCCCGTGGGAAATTGAACCCACAACCCTGGCGTTGCAAGCGCCATGCTCTACCAACTGACCTACAGGAGGCCATTTCCATTCCAAAAATTCTACATTTCGATATAGGTACATTGGATCTTACGGCACGAGAACCCTCAGTGTTCTATAGGCTAGGTGAGAGGATTCCAAGGGAAATGAACCTCTGTCCCAGCTCTCCTCCCTTCTCTCCACATCCTGCCAGGCGCACACCAGGAAAGGGTGGGAGAGGGCTCTGGAAGCTGAGATGCGATTGGTTGGGCTGAACCCTAGACATTGAAGGAGCAGGTTGTTCTCCTCCTGGCCCAGGTTGGATAAGAGCTGGGTGTAGGGGTCTCTGGGGCACCAGCTATGGGAGTAGGAGATGGGGCTCTCCCTGGGCCAGTCCTCTTCGCTGGGCAAGCCAATCACCTCAAAGATTTTCTGGAGCTGCTGAGCCTCAGTGTATCGACGGAACAATGGTCTCAAAAGGAAGAGTTCTGCAAAAACATACAGGACGGAAAAGCACTGAAATGCTATCTGAGAGTACTAAAAACATGATTATTTCTGCATTTCCTTAAGATCAGTTCCTTTTGTAGGCTACAGCATTGTCTGTGCACTAAGGGTAATATGTTTTTTCAATTTTTTGTTTTTTGGAACCTTTTGATTGGTGAAATCCTGAAACTTGTTATGGACATTTTTGAGAAATAACTTGCAGGGTTGACATTGTCCAGTAGATGGTGACAGTGTCATGTGAAATTATTTATTCAGGAGTCAAAGTGAGATTTTCTCTAGACCAAAATAGAACCTGAATGTATGTAGTTTATGCTAGAGTCATTCTAAAGTAATGAATGTTACAATGATTTCCTACTGCATAATTTTAGATGGCACTACTATTTTACAGCAGTTTCTTCTGATTGGTGGGCCCATAATTACACAGAGTATATAAAACATTAAGAACCCCTGCTCTTTCCATGACATAGGCTGACCAGGTGAATCCAGGTGAAAGCTATAATCCCTTATTGATGTCACTTGTTAAATCAACTTCAATCAGTGTAGATGAAGGGGAGTAGACATGTTAAAGAAGGATTTTTAAGCCTTGAGACAATTGAGATATGGATTGTGTATGTGTGCCATTCAGAGGGTGAATGGGCAAGACAAAATATTTAAGTGCCTTTGAACGGTGTATGGTAGTAGGTGCCAGGCGCACCGGTTTGGGTCAAGAACTGCAACGCTGCTGGGTTTTTCATGCTCAACAGTTTCCTGTGTGTATCAAGAATGGTCCACAACCCAAAGGACATCCAGCCAACTTGACACAACTGTGGGAAGCATTGGGAGTCAACATGGGCTAGCATCCCTGTGGAACACTTTCGATACCTTGTAGACTCCATGCCCTGATGAATTGAGGTTGTAAAAAACTCAATTTTACTACGGTGTTCCTAATGTTTAGTGTACTCAGTTTATATAATTTACTGACAGCATGGTAAGTGAAACTCTATGTTTGGGCTTGTCTAAGGATGAGGACAGGTAGTACAGTAGATTTGATGTGTGTGGACTTGACTAAACCCTTGGTGGTGCAGCCCATTGGAGTGTAAGCAGCATGGGTTCCCTCTGGCCCCTGGCTGCAGGTGTGGAGCCCAGGGGGGCCAACCTGTCAGCTAGATCAGGCGGTGAAAGGGCAGGCAGGTAATATAGGATGACAGAGGAAGAAGTGGACATTGCTTAGCAAGGCCAGACACAGGCCTCCTACTCTGTGGGCCTGGACCATCATTCTCTATCATTGCCTTCCTGTCCTCTGAGGATGTTTGATCCCCCCACTAAAGCTTGGACTTTCCACAGTCTGATGCCTGTCAAAATACCAAAGAGCAGACACATGCTTTACATCATGACATGTAGACATGTTCACATACTCGTTTGAAGAGGGTCAAAGTGTGGTCACTTGAGTTTGAAATGAACTTTGAAATAAAGCCAGGGGAAAGCGATATTGTCTGAGATTTTGTAACCCTCTTCTCTGGTGAGCCTGACACTATTTGCTTCATTAGATAACTAGGAAACTAAGGATGTGAAATAGCCATGCTCTTAGATACTCAAATTTCACAAATCTAATAGACATTGAAGGGCTCCTGTCAGTGGCTATGCTGGCGATGAAATTGAATACCTCTTCTTACCCTAATATTATTATTATTATTATTATTATTATTATTATTATTATACCTCTTCACAGCCTCAAAAGGATTTGGACAGTGCTCTTCTTCCACTGAATTCTGGTGAATGCGATAATAATGAGAGTTATTATCATGTTGTAATCACAATAACTTATTGTTTGATTGCTCTTTTTCCACCAACAGCATAACATCTGTAGTGTGCCTTTAAAACTGGGATTCCCTTCCTGGGATGACTCACTCATTACTGTTGCTTTAGATCATGTAGTAACCTTAATACCATGCCAGGACTTCTGCCTGACTACACATTGTACCAGCTCCCATCTGCTTACTCATGGATTGGAGGCCCATTGATTATCACGCCATCACAGCGCTCACACCAGCACATTACACAAAGCACAACAGGGTTGTATTCATTCAGGCACACAAGAGAAAATGTTTTAAAGCGTTTGGAATGTTTCAGTCCATTTTCTTCTGTTTGGTACCTAATGCCCTTAAAACTCATAGGAATGCAGCCAAATGATGCCATCACCTGTCTGTAATCCCCTGTAAATCCAGGCTGACTACAGCACCAATAGATGGCTGGAAATCTCTGCTCAGATTGATAACAAGACACAGGGCATTCCTCTGAATCAGAAGGGATGAGTTCACAGAAGACTGTTTAAAAAATCAGGGCTTCTGATGCATCTGAGAAAAACAATGTGGACACCAATGAGGATGGGGACAGAAAAGAAGAAGAAGAAGAAGAAGAAGAAGAAGAAGAAGAAGAAGAAGAAGAAGAAGAAGAAGAAGAAGAAGAAGAAGAAGAAGAAAGAAGAAGAAGAAAAAGAAGAAGAAGAAGAAGAAGAAAAAGAAGAAGAAGAAGAAGAAGAAGAAGCAATACATGTATAAGAGTACCAAGACCAACAAGAACAAGGCCAGCAACCACAAATGCAAAAAATAATAAGAAAGAAACAACAATGGTGCGTATCCATATCACTCGGACTGTGGGAGCGGCGATGTCAGTGACAGCTCCCTTGAGATATGAGGGTAAGGCCGCCCTCATGCACACGTCCATGTGTGATCAGAGTCGACAGTCTCTAATGGGCACCAGGGCATGTGCAGGGAGGCCCTGTCAGTCCGATGTTCTTTTGACCATGTGCCAACGCAGATTGACAGGCCTGTATGTGGAAGATGGCCAGTGCCATATAGTGTGGGATCTGTGACTATGGTGTTTTGACCCTCAGGGCCCCCCAGTCTTTGCCTGAGCAGCCATGATGTTTCCCCCTTGACTGGCTCTTTACCCTATCCTCATTCTCCTGTCACAGCGATGGCAGTGAGTTGACGTTTGAAATAGAATAATGTTTGAGCTACAGGAGCCGTTGAAAAGGTCCTCATCATGAGATATGAATGATTATCAAAACACAAGACAGCGTTTGACACATACAGTAGGCCTGCTGTAAATATTTGTGTTGCCTTGGAATTATTATTGTATTTTCAGCTCTAAAAGATTATTTACAAAATGTTCAAATGAAATAATTTGTTTTATGAATGGTATAAAACAATAGTATAGCATCAGTAGCCTACAGTACAACTCCGCATGACAGGTCAGACAGCAACAACTACCGTTTGGCTTTAGATGTCAAATTCATGATGGCTTTGAATGCCGCTCATCCTATCTCATTGTCATATCCATTTTCCAAACTAACCTCGTTTGGTGCACTCTCCACTCAATGACCTGCAAGATAACAACAATATGTACATTTGGTTAGGACTCTTCAGGTCTTTTGAAATTGGCCAGTGCTAAAAGCGGTGGATTCAATTATAAGGTCATTTAATTAGGTTCCCTAACTAGTCCAGTTAAACCACAGAGATTCTAGTCTATGCTGTTGTCTCCTCTCCAAAAGCATTACCCTAGACTCAGGAAGCAAAGACCTTTTGAGACTTTGTCTACTTAAAGAGGTCAAAATGGTCAAGGTTTATTTCTCACACACATACACACACACACACACACACACACACACACACACACACATGTACACACATGCATTTACAAACACACACAACCTTCTTTAGCCGTCTTTTACCAATCTTTTGACAGGGGACATTGCATAACATCAGGACCTCTTCAAAGATGTTGTAGATTATAACATTTGCATACATTGAGTTTGAGTAGCCAGCTAGTTCCTCCTTCCCTCCATCATGAGTCACCATTTAGATCCACAGCCTTCTCTAATACTCAAATTCATTCTCAAATGAATCAAGATACATCAAGACACTTGTTGTAACCTAAAAATGATATTGGACTTCAGGGAACCTAAAACAAAACATTAATTCAACCAAACTGCTTATCAAATAGCCTAGTAAGCCTTCTAAATTCAACATTAAAGAGGCTAGGTTTCTAAAATTGTACCTATTAAAAAGTAGGGAACCTAAAACCGTCGACGTTGGAGTGGAGCTCATTTTGTTGATTAGTGTGCGCAGAGGGAGTTCTACTCCACTAGCCTAGTGATTGACAATTTACTCCTCCCAGTCTGACCTATCATCGCCCACAATACGAGAATCTTCAGTGCCTCTGAAGTTTGTCAGTTTTTTCAAACTTACCTGCTCAGACGGTGGACTGAGTTTTGATAATCCGCCAACCATGACCCGCCAAGACTCAGCGGCCCCAGCGGGAAGCTTGAGCACCCAGGGCCCCTCAAACGCCGGTTACAACACCAACCCTGTGCCGGTACCTGTGATCACACAGACGGACACACGAGACAAATGGAGCAAAAAGATGGATTTTCTTTTATCAGTCATTGGCTTCGCGGTAGACTTAGGAAATGTGTGGAGATTTCCATACATTTGTTACCAAAACGGAGGCGGTAAGAATTTTTCTAATTATTTAATTATTTGCTTTATATTTTAGTGGATGCCCTTAGTTACATTTATGTGGTCTCGTCTTTCTTGATATTAGATATGATAATAGGCTGCCATTAATAAATATTATTCTGTTTGTAATGAAGGATTTGAAAAGGATAGTTGCTCTTATGCGCGCACCAGGGTAGGCAGGCTATACCGCGTGCTGTCCATGGTGCTGAAATAAGCTTCACAGGCTCTATAGCCTGCAAAATCACTCCAATAAACTCACTGAAACACACTTAAATAAAACATTTTAGTTCATCTTAAAAGTAAAATATTGAACTATGTATTCCATAGGTTTTCCTGTTTCTGATTGAAATATAGCCTAGAATATTAGCTATATAGCCTAGAATATTAGCTAGGAGAGTTAATCCGCCAAGATTAGTTCGAACAGAGATGAGTTTCGATGTCCCAAATGTTGTTGGACGCTGAATGAGGCTACAAAACATAGGCCTACCTCTAATCTAATCACTATTATGGAAAACGGAAAGTGGAAAATGTCTATCCTATCGAGGTTATAGGCTATAAACGAATTAAACAGTCTCTGATTAATGTATTTGGCTGAATACATTTGTCTGTGTTTTTTTGTCTCTCATCTGTATTTACCGCTATGTTTACACCACATTTGTAGAAGGATACCGTTTGCAGTTTGACTCGAGGGAGTATTTCTTGATGCAGTTATTTCACCCACCATAGTGATAGAACTGCTTCTCTAAAAGTAGCCCATGTAGCCATTTGCATGTATAACTTCTGTTCTGAATAAATATTTGTTTAAAGTTATAACATGTGTAGGGATATACAGTTTCTAAAAAAAAAAACTACCAATCATTTGACGGATGGTCAGTTTGAAAAGTAAAGACATTTCACATCTTTCGATGATAACGTAGACGCTATAAAGTTACCCAAATATTTGAGCAATAAGATTTCCCTTAGAATAAAACACAAAAAAGTCGTTCAAGTGTATCTAAAGATAAATAATGCTTTATAACCTGTTTAATAAGAATGTATGAGCCTTTATAATGTCTTATAGCAAGGCTTATAAATAATGTTATGTATCTCTATGCATAACATTTCAACTGTCTCAAACTGGCTGTTATTTAGGCCTACATCTTCATCAACACAATGTGATCTCCTTAAAGTGATGAGTCAGACCTGTGATTTTGCCTCTACATCTCGGTACAGGGGCTTTCCTAATCCCCTACATTGTAATGGCGATCTTTGGAGGGGTGCCACTCTTTTACATGGAACTGGCACTGGGACAGTTCCACAGAACTGGTGCCATATCCATATGGAAACACATATGCCCCATCTTCAAAGGTAGGATTGGAATCATCTACCTTCATACACAACCCACCTCACAACTCACTGATCCCACACCAGCGCACATCTTTACATGACCTGCATACTACACATCTTCTTCTCACATTCACGTGGGGACCCTTACTGTTGACTATTCAACAGTGTATTTATAGCACAAGGTAACTGTGGAATTATTTGTGGGTCAATTGAAAGGTAAAGTACAGTACAATCCACAGTAAATTAAATGTACACTAGGCCTATAACTACAAAGTCATTGGTCATTTCAAAATGGCATAATAAGCCTGTTTACACTGAGAGACACCTCTAACCTCTGATGGCACTGATCCATCTGTCCATGGTTTCAGGCATCGGGTATGCGATCTGTGTCATCTCCCTCTATGTCTCCTTCTACTACAACACCATCATCGCCTGGGCACTCTTCTACTTCTACTCCTCCTTCGCCAGTGTCCTGCCCTGGACCAACTGTGACAATGCCTGGAACACTGAAAACTGCACCAACTACTTCCTGAAAGACAACGTGACCTGGAACAACTACTCCAGGTCACCTGCTGAGGAATTTTACACGTAAGTGCATGTAAGTGGCAGACAGCACGGGGAAATACTGTCACCTGGATCTTGAAAAGCCACGTCAAAGGGTTGACATCATTGTTATCATTTCATTGCATTCACATGTTTCGACATCTTTTACATTTCATAATAGTGCATTGTAGTTTTCGTTTTTTAATCAAACACTTGCTTACAAGTGTTGAAACATGCTGTGATTATGTAAAGCTTATAGAAAACAGGAAATGCACTCAGCACACTGCTAGAAAAAATTGTGCTCTATCTAGCTAACCAAAAATAGTTAAATGGCTCGCTTACACAGATGTAGGATCTTAATTTGAGCCAATTTGCTACAGCAGGAAAATAATCCTGCAGCAATAGGATGTGAATTATTATGTGGATTATAATTAATGGATATTTTTGTAGGGCTTGATACATTTTCCGTAAGGGAAAATTAGGTCTGAAATTTCAACGTGGAAATTACAAACTTCAGAAGCATTTTTATACCTCAAATACACTACAAGTTTTACATTTCCTCATGCAACAGGGTGATCAAATTAAGATCCTATATCTGTATTAAATGGCCCTCAAATAGGATCTATATCGATCCACAAAGCAGCCTTAGTTTTAGCAGTGTAGGTAGGCCGAGGCCTACAGCCAAAGGTAGTACTTGTAAATACACCACTCACATATTGTTCCAACACAGGAGGAATGTTCTGGAGATCCACAAGTCCGATGGGCTGCGTAACGTGGGGGGTGTTCGCTGGCAGCTGATGCTCTGCCTCTTCCTCATCTTCACTATTGTTTACTTCAGTCTCTGGAAGGGAGTGAAGACATCAGGGAAGGTAACAAGTCCAAGCCACTCATCCGGGAAAGGGGTGTGGGGGCAATTACCGGAGCATTGTTGCATACTATAGCAAAAAGGTGGGGGTTAGTACCGGGTCATCCGACCCAAAGGTAAACACATTGGCCACAGAGAGATATTTCAGTTGGGGACATTCATAGACTAGGGTCATTACAATACCATGTCCAGTGTGATTCACAAGGCTATAATCTCATTTTCTCTTCCCTTCTCTGAGCTCTCTAGAGAGAGAGAGGAGAGAGAGAGAGAGAGAGATAGAGTAGAGAGAGAGAGAGAGAGAGAGAGATAGAGACTCTCTCTTCTTCTCTCTCTCTCTATCTCTCTCTCTCTCCTCTCTCTCTCTCTCTCTCTCTCTCTCGCTCTCTATCTCTCTATCTCTCTCTCTCTCGCTCTCTCTCTCTCTCTCTCTCTCTCTCTCTCTCTCTCTCTCTCTCTCTCTCTGCTGCTGCTTTGCCCGTCCTGTGCCAGGTAGTGTGGGTGACGGCCACCTTGCCCTATGTGGTGCTCTTCATCCTGTTGATCCGTGGTGCCACCCTACCAGGTGCATGGAAGGGAGTGGTCTTCTACCTCCAGCCCAAGTGGGAGAAACTCTTCGAGACCAGTGTGAGTTATGAGAGGATTCCACATGATCACATCAATTCCATATGATCATCTGTTTGGAGCGGGAAACACTGTCAAATAGCTTGAAGAATTTCACAGTATTGTTTCATAATTTTGGTACTGTTACAAATGGGAGTTGGTATATTAGACTGAGCGGGCAAAATTTGGCATGGGATGTTAGAATTATTTCATTATTTGGTTGTACAGACGCAGTCGTTTTTTTGCACGTCACAGCACAGCATTCTGCACCCGCCTGGGTCAAAATCCGTCAAAGAAAGGCAGTGCACAGTAGTGATCAAACGCAGTCAACCCTATACAAAATAATGTAATTTCCCTGGTGATGAAGAGGATGTGTTGCATTTGTTATTTCAATTGAATGCAGTAAGGTTTTCCCCAGGCGAGTGCAGTATGCTGTGCTGTGATGCACATCATGCGCGCCACAAAAAATACTGCATCTGTAAACTTGCCTTTCTGGTGATGGGGACGGCAGCCTGAGTTCATTGCAACTAGTATATTGGGAACAGTATATCATATGTCCTTTAATTTCTAGTGTCTGATGGTCCAGTGCTGTGTTGCTGGCTCAGTATGAGTGAGTGCTTTGGTTCAAGGGAATAATGATGAGATGAGATGCATAAATAAGCCACAGCACGCGATAATGAGATGCGTAATTGGTGGAGATTTTTTTTACATTAACAAAGCCCCCCCTCCATTCTCTCGCAATCACACATACACTTTCTCTTTTTGTCCTCCCCTCCCTCTCCAAATGCATGTTCCTCATCAGATCACTCAGTACAGCTGTGAAATAGGATTTGTATGAGGCTATCATTCAGCACAAGTGTCATTGGACACAACAGGTCACAGTAATCCATTGGAAAATACAGAAGATTACAATTTTGGAATTCAATTCAATAAACACCCTTTAATTTGTGCTTATGCTGCAGGTATAATGCACTATGATATGCAATGCATTGCAAGACTTGACATCAGCATGTATGACCCCCTTTATAATATCTTATTATTATCCTGACTACAAAACAGCAAAATGTGCGTAGACATAAAATACATGCTAATAACAAGTAATATATTATTATGTGCAGACTTTCATTTGAAGTGTTACCTGGTACTTATCATGTATTCAGCAAGAAACACTGTGCTTGTTTTGATTTGATATTATTTGATGCTTGGAGGGAATCAGCTGTCCGAAAGGGAACAATTTAAAAATGAGGACATAATTTGCATAGCATTTAAATCTCTAGAATAGCAGAGGATTATCGCAGACAGGCAGACAGACAGACAGACAGACAGACAGACAGACAGACAGACAGGCAGGCAGGCAAGCAGGCAGGCAGGCAGGCAGGCAGGCAGGCAGGCAGGCAGGCAGGCAGGCAGACAGGCAGGCAGACAGACAGGCAGGCAGACCAGCCTGTCCTCAAAGACTAGACATAACCTTAACCCCTAACCCTAATCCTAAACCCTAGTCTAGCTAATGTTAGCCACCTAGCCACCTTGCCAGGCACGTGCCCAGATAGAGCCCTAGGGGTGCTGGAGCACCTGATTTTACCCTCCTATGAAAAAAGTGCCCTTTTAATTGGTGGCCTTTTAAAAATGTTTAATTTATTTCTAGCCTCTTTTCTCTCTTGTAACTTTAAATGCAGCAAATTGCCCCCCATCAAATTAGATAATTTCTCATAAACTCATACATTTTGAAAGAAGTCCCCTCCCAGCCCTTCTGCCACCGTGAGTGCAGCAATGCTCTAATGCACTTGTCCTGCAAGCACAAGCTAACTACCGGCACCGGGCAATAGTGTGTGATTGCGGCCCGCAATTCAGGGCGTTCTGGCATGTGAGAGCATCCCCCCCCCTCGAGCATCCCATTGGTTCCTTCATGAACACCCCCCCTCGAGCATGACATCTTCATGCTTGTTGACACTTTTGATATTCTGGATTTCCCCTGATTGCTTATGCGAATAAAATGGGGGTCAAATGAGAAATAAACATGTTATCTGAGTTTTTTGGGGCAAACAACACTGTCTACCGGTGTCCTAACTAGCTACAGTGGGGAGAACAAGCATTTGATACACTGCCGATTTTGCAGGTTTCCTACTTACAAAGCATATAGAGGTCTGTAATTTTTATCATAGGTACACTTCAACTGTGAGAGACGGAATCTAAAACAAAAATCCAGAAAATCACATTGTATGATTTTTAAGTAATTAATTTGCATTTTATTGCATGACATAAGTATTTGATCACCTACCAACCAGTAAGAATTCCGGCTCTCACAGACCTGTTAGTTTTTCTTTAAGAAGCCCTCCTGTTCTCCACTCATTACCTGTATTAACTGCACCTGTTTGAACTCGATACCTGTATAAAAGACACCTGTCCACACACTCAATCAAACAGACTCCAACCTCTTCACAATGGCCAAGACCAGAGAGCTGTGTAAGGACATCAGGGATAAAATTGTAGACCTGCACAAGGCTGGGATGGGCTACAGGACAATAGGCAAGCAGCTTGGTGAGAAAGCAACAACTGTTGGCGCAATTATTAGAAAATGGAAGAAATTCAAGATGACGGTCAATCACCCTCGGTCTGGGGCTCCATGCAAGATCTCACCTCGTGGGGCATCAATGATCATGAGGAAGGTGAGGGATCAGCCCAGAACTACACGGCAGGACCTGGTCAATGACCTGAAGAGAGCTGGGACCACAGTCTCAAAGAAAACCATTAGTAACACACTACGCCACCGTGGATTAAAATCCTGCAGCGCACGCAAGGTCCCCCTGCTCAAGCCAGCGCATGTCCAGGCCCGTCTGAAGTTTGCCAATGACCATCTGGATGATCCAGAGGAGGAATATAGAAGGTCATGTGGTCTGATGAGACAAAAATATAGCTTTTTGGTCTAAACTCCACTCGCTGTGTTTGGAGGAAGAAGAAGGATGAGTACAACCCCAAGAACACCATCCCAACCGTGAAGCATGGAGGTGGAAACATCATTTTTTGGGGATGCTTTTCTTCAAAGGGGACAGGACAACTGCACCGTATTGAGGGGAGGATGGATGGGGCCATGTATCACGAGATCTTGGCCAACAACCTCCTTCCTCAGTAAGAGCATTGAAGATGGGTCGTGGCTGGGTCTTCCAGCATGACAACGACCCGAAACACACAGCCAGGGCAACTAAGGAGTGGCTCCGTAAGAAGCAACCTCCACAATAAACAATCACACACAAAGACAAGGGGGGCAGAGGGAGCACTTATACAGGTACTGATGAGGGGATATGAACCAGGTGTGTGTAATAAACAAGACAAAACAAATGGAATGATGAGGAGCGGCAGTGGCTAGAAGGCCGGTGACGACAAACGCAGAAGCCCACCGGAACAAGGAGAGGAGGTAGCTTCGGAGGAAGTCGTGACAACCTGCCCTCGCCGCCATTAACAAAGCTGTGGGAAAGCAGTGCCCAACAGGCAGGGGTGAAGGACAATGTCTACCGGTGTCCTAGCTAGCTAGTTAACGAACATTACCTATTCCGCCTCCCGCCTGCTGTGTACCGGAGTCCAGTGTCCTTCGCTCCTGCCTGCCGAACAGCTGCCTTCGCCGTCATTAACAGAACTGCGGGAAAGCAGTGACCGACAGGCGGGGGTGAAGGACAATGTTTACTGATGTACTAGCTAGCTAGCTACCGTTATCGCCCCAACCTCTTCTTCTTAGTCTGTGGGGTTTACCGGTGGTTGGCATCCAACGTTATGGTGCATTACCGCCACATACTGTGCTGGAGCGCCTCCTCCCCCCATTTGTGTACCGGAGTCCTAGCTTAAAAATTGACCAATAGAAGTATAAAGAGGGGTTCCCGCAGATGCAGGAATGCCCACATTGCGGGCCGCAATTGCACCCTTCTAGTGCTAGGCATTGAGTTTGAAATTAATACCGCCAGTAGTAGGTTACTTTGGAGTTGCTAGCATGTGTTGTCTCATGGTCAGGGACAGGGAAAGGGGCAGCTGCAGTTCGACTGTTTGTTAGTAGCAAAACAAATTAAAATAAAATAAAGACTAGGTTGTTTTGATAGCATAGCCTAGCTAACTAGCTGATTCATCTACATTCGCAATGATCAGCTGATATAGCCCACCCCACTAGTGGTTCTAGCATATAGCCTACTGTTAACTAACTCTATCTGTGGTTCTAGCTCGCTTAGCCTACAATGTGTGATGAGTGAGTGTGATTTTGCAGAAAATTAAGGACTATGTTAAACCAAATCATGGAATATTTGGATACAGGAGCAGTAGAAAACTATGAACGTAATTAAGGTAAATATATATATATATACACACTGAACAAAAATATAAATGCAACATGTAAAGTGTTTGTCCCATGTTTCATGAGCTGAATAAAAGATCCCAGAGATTTTCCATACGCACAAATTTGTTTACATCCCTGTTAGTGAGCATTTGTCCTTTACCAAGATAATCCATCCACCTGACAGCTGTGGCATATCAAGAAGCTGATTCAACAGCATGATCATTACACAGGTGCACCTTGTGGTGGGGACAATAAAAGGCCACTCTAAAATGTGCAGTTTTGTCACACAACACACAACACCACAGATGTCTCAAGTTTTGAGGGAGCGTGCAATTGGCATGCTGACTGCAGGAATGTCCACCAGAGCTGTTGCCAGACAATTGAATGTTATTTCTCTACCATAAGCCGCCTCCAACGTCGTTTTAGAGAATTTGGCAGTACCTCCAACCGGCCTTACAACCGCAGACCACGTGTATGGCGTCGTGTGGGAGAACGGTTTGCTGATGTCAACGTTGTGAACAGAGTGCCCCATGGTGGCGGTGGGTTTATGGTATGGGCAGGCATAAACTACGGACAACGAACACAATTGCATTTTATCGATGGCAGTTTGAATGCACAGAGATACCGTGACGAGATCCTGAGGCCCATTGTCGCCATTCACCTCATGTTTCAGCATGATAATGCACGGCCCCATGTCGCAAGGACCTGTACACAATTCCTGGAAGCTGAAAATGTCCCAGTTCTTCCATGGCCT